TTTCTGTTTGGCTTGCTTGTGTAATCTTCTTTGTGGGGGACCTTAGAGAAGAAACCTTGTTTTGAAAGTTGTGTACTGTAGTTCTCAGGCTGTGATAAACTGATTCCTGGAAGTCCTTTTGTGTGTAATATTTAACTCTCCTTTTTCTGGTGCAACATTGATATTCGTAAAGTTTAGAAAAACACTGAAGTTCTTCAAAGATACTCGTTGCCTTTAGAGCTTAATGTACAAGTGCTGCTATTGTGAAACAGCAGTGCTGTAGATTAGCCGAACTTGCGGAAGAGCCAAAACCTCAAACTAGTTGGTCAAGGAAGTGTTTAAGAAACCTATGAACAGATTATTAATGAGAAAAAAAATGTCTTGCTTTTTAATTCACTGCTATCCATGTTACTTAGTACCAGCTCAGTGGAAAGCAGTGCGGTAGGCGTAGGCTGAAGTGAGTGGAAATGACATCAGTATGGGATTAGGCTGCAGTTCAGTTACCTAGATTAGCTCTATCTTTTTTAGCATTAAAAATTAGATTTTTACATGGGATGGTCACCACCATGTTTCTTCACTGGATTTTGCTCTCTGCATTTGTTTCTGTGCTGCTAGAGTCAAATTGCATCTGACATCTATGACAGCTGAGTAGGAAAAAAAAAAAAAAAAAACAGCTCCAAAAAAGGGAAGGCTAAAATGTCCCTTTTGCTGTATGGCTTTATGGACAGTTGTAGTGGCCCTTATTCGAGGACTTCACCAAGATGTGACTGCAGTTTGCCATAAAAATGGCCCTCCAGTGTGAACCTGAGTATCCAGTGATTGTGTCTGCACTGGAAAATGTGTAGCCCGGTTGCAAGAGATCTGTAGAGGTGCTGAGGACTTGACACCCACTCTTCACACATTTATGGGGGGTTTCACTCTGAACTTGCCACAATCTCTTCCCTTTAAGAGCTGGCCTGTGTTAGGCTACTCCTGAAGCATGTCGCTTAGCTTGCTGACAGGAGTGCCCAGTGGTGTAAGCCAAAGGGCAACAAGTGGAGATGCTCAGGAGACTTTAAAAGCGCACTCCTGATGTGGATTAAAATGCTAATGTGGGTACAGCCACGTTGAAGAGGCAGCGGTTCTATATCCTACAGACTTCTCTATCCTAACTGAAGTAAACTGAAAAAAGGCAACAAAAATCCTTGTCGTTCTGTTATTAATAAAGATAAAAGTTGCTTTACAGCGGGAAGCATTCAGTGTGAAGCTACTAATGTATATGCATGTGCAACTGCACACCTACGCTCGGGGTGAAGCCCTGGTCCCATTCGAATCAGCCTACCCTGGGTCCATGGACTTCACCGTGACGGTTGCATTGATATTGCGTCTGGTTTTGTGTGTTCCTTAAACTGCTCAGATTTGTGCTGAATATTTCTGCAACACAGAAAAAAAATGTCCTAATAAATACATACAGGGACATTTTCATATAAATGTATATCTAGTAGTATATTAAGTATTTAAAAATAGATTTTTGGCGTGATATAGTAATTGAAACGTGTATTTCCTGAACACAACCCAGCACCTGCCAGTGATAGGTGTAACATCTGCAAAACCTCTGCAACTGTCAAGAAAGTAGTCATTTCAGCTGCTTCTTTGGGGTAGATAATACAGTCTTCAGAACTATAAATTCGAAGGGTTTTCTTTCGCACGTCAATAAATTGAACATTGCACTGTTTCCCTCCTTTACAGTACTGATTAGAAATACTTTAATTTGTCATAAACAGTGACATGATGAGCAAATTATTAATGGTCTGGAGTAACGTCTTCGTATTTGCAAATCTTTCACACTTACTATGCTTTTTAAGCCTCATAAAGCAGATTATTTTTATCAGTGGTCCAAAAACAGATGGAACAAATATAAAGCAAGATATGATATAGAGAATTTATCTTCTAGAATTCAGGAAGAAATAATAGCAAATGATGGTTCCAGAAACATATTGAATTTTTGCTGCCATGGCTCTTTGCTCTAAAATTTGCATTCCTTTCCATGGATGAGATACTTCTGAATTTAATGAGCAATGAATATTAAACTTTCAAGCTTAAATGTATTTTAATTTTTGTACTGAGAAAATAACTTTTACGTTTTTAGTGAATTATGAATAGGAATATAAATATTAATTCTATAATTAATTTAATTTTTCCCTTCTGTTACTAGCTAGCAACCTGACAAGTGTAAGTGCACTGGCCAAGCTTCCTAAGTGTGTATTTCCTGTTCATTTTCGTTATAACTACCTCAGCAGAAGCAATATCAATGTAGCAAAACCTTTCCTTACAGAAATTTGGTATGAAGTAGCATACACAGAATACTTCCCTTCACCACCAACACCCCCCAGCACTTAAAATAGTTTCTGAACTGGCTCTGGGAGAAACTCTATACTTGCTTGATAAGGAGCATAAATACCCACTAAATAAAAGTATGAATTTGAGTGAAATACTGTCATTGTTTATGATTACTACTTCTCTGCTTTAATGTTTGAATCACAAAATGGAGGGGTTTTTCCAATTATTTTCTCAGACATGCACTCTAAGTAGAATTTGGCTACAACAGCACCGATTGCCTGCCTGAACACTGTATAAAAGAACACCATGATTATTCATCAGATCCACTAACGAGCATAAAAAAAACCCTCAGACTTACCTTTGAGCTCTACAAAATATGCAAGAACCTGTTCAAATACTGCTCTGGCCCCGAGTGCGATTAGTCTGGTGGAAGAGGGGAGCGCAGCTACAGTAAATGTGGCAGTGTGACAGCGGTCAGGAACGCGCCGTACAGGTGAGGTGAGGTGGGGCAGCCCTTCGCTGCACGCAGCAGCGCCTCTGGAACCAGCCTGACTGACCTGACTGCTGTCATGACCGAGTTCTGTCATTACAGGGTCCACAGAAATTGCAGTATTTATGGTAAAGTGGGTAGGCAGTGCTTATTGCTTAATCTTTGAAAGTCTTTGAACTGCTCTTTCAGAAAGGTGACTGTTTTCTGTAAACTATAGAAACCATTGTTCTGTGGACTATGCAACTATTCGTTTAACAGAAGATAGCTTCTTGTTATTGCAGTTCGCTATGGTATGTTTTGTGAGATGAAAACTGGAAAAGGCGTGTCTTCTACAAAATAAAGCAGCAAAATGAGTTCTGTTAAGAAAAACATCCTGCTAGAAATGGGTCTGATCCTGTTTCCAAATATGTTCACACTTGCAATATTTTAAGATAACAATCTAAATCCAAATTTCCTGAATTTATCAGGTGTCATTAGTTTTTACTTTGGAATACGTAACCAGCTAGACATCTGAACGATACAACTTTACTCCTCAGTTTAGGTTTTATACAAACAATAGCGGGTTAAAGTAAGAATAAGGAAGGCATATCGTATATAACTTAATTTGCTGATCTAGTCCACCTGTGATTTTTTTAATTCTTTATGTATATTTGTTCTAGGTTGGTACGTGGTAAAGAACGACTCAGAAATGTTTCAGTCTTGTGTGACTGAGTGGAATGCCACGTTGTTGTTTTCTGTTTCCACTTTGAATTTTTAAGGAACCAAGTGCAAATACTGTTTCATAACTTACCCTTGAGATACGTGTTGTGGGTATGGCATATACAGGAGGTGTTCATATGGGAGAAACTAGTGGTGTTTTCTTGAAAATACTGCATCGGACAAGTGAAAGGTGTTCTGTGCAATGGATCAGGTTCTGCCCTTTCCAATATTGCTCTTGGAGAAAAATAGTGTTTGCTTTGTGTATGGCGTGGGATATGTTGCTCCTGAGACCTTGCATGTCAGGAAGGGATTTCTCTGGCAAGGTGGCGTCTTCTGTAACATGTCTGAGTCTTGCACTGCATTGGTTGTGATAGCACTTCCAACGGCAGTGAGAAAAGGTTGCTTCACCCTCGGATTACTCAAGTGCAAACCCCACTGCTGCTTAAATAGAAGAGCTGTGTGCTGTTCCTGGTAGGAGCATCTGAAACTTAAATGAAATCTCTGGTGAAGACAAGATGCATGATTGGAAGAACAGAAGAACATACTGATTAGAAATAATACTCAGGGACAAGTCCCTTTCATTTAGCCTTCCATTATTTTGGGTAGTGGCATGGTGAACTTCTGCTGACTTCTAATCATTGTGCTTTAATGTACTATCTGGATAAATCATGTGTATATAAAATGATGATAGCTGTATATAATAGATATAAACCAAATAAGATGCTAAATGTAATAAGAAATACAGAAAAAGGTAGAAATGTTAAGGCCATCCTATTCAGTTTGAGTTAGAAATCGTCCTTCTGAGCAGCTGGCTTGCCAGAAGGAAGCAAATTTTCTCACTCCCTATTTGAAATAACTGTTTTCCAGGGAACAATTGGACAATCCCACGTTTTGGCACGAATCCCACCACAACAAGGTGTCTTACCCTCGGTGGCAAACTACAGTGTTTGCGAAACTTGGAGTTACTGTTTTTATAGGACCTACCAAAAACGCTAAGTACATGGAGAATCTGATTATGATCTCACACATAGATCAGATAAATATTTTGGTAGTGAAGCTACTGCAGTGTAAAGCTGCTATATCTGGAGAAGTGAGGTTGTCTTGATTCGAACTGAATAACATGAGATCATAATTTAGGTCTTTGTTAGTAGGTCCCATTGTGTGTGCATATCCTTGTTTCTTCGAGGAAAGATTTTAAACCGTATATGTTTTGAATAAAATTAGAAGCAAAATGAAGATCTAAAAGGGAAAGCAGTGTCTCCTATCGACAGGTACCTATCTCTGTACAGATGTAGCAGACAGGAAATAAAATGATTCTTAAACGTTGTAAAATAGTGCTCCAATTTTAACAGTGATTATCCTGAAGTTACTTACAGTTTTCAGATTCAATGGGGAGAACAGCCAGAAAGTGGCTAATGACCGTTATCATGGTATATGTTGCTGATTTGCTTGAGATCTGCATGGCCTTTTTCTTTCTTTTCCATAATTAAAATGCAGTTGATGATTTCCACAGCTACAGTCTTTCTAGAGTTTTGGAAAAGACGGAGAGCTGTATTAACCTATGACTGGGACCTCATAGACTGGGAAGATGAAGAGGTAAGACTGAACAGAAGTAAACCTGTAAACCTTGCTATCAGCATGATTAAGTGTAAATATCAATACACACTGTATGCTAGTAATCTGAATTTATCATTCAGATTATGTTTGTATTTATAGCGCTAGTTGCAGAGTAAACAAGTATACTTGAGACTATACGAGAATACTTTACCTTCTGCAACTAGCATTATAATTCCAAAATAATTCCACATTTTTAAAAGTATCCTTTGAAAAATCGAGTGGAAATACTGCCCATACAGAGCACAGGAGCTACTACTGCTGTCAGCACAGATGCCTTTCAGTTCTATGGTTTCTTGTACTGGAAATTCCTAATCCTGCCTAAAAACAGGGCCAAGACAAGCAAAGGCACAGAAACTAGATTTTTATGTCCTTCTGAGAGGTGTAACTTACCCTTTAACATTCTACTATCAGCATCAGCAGTAATAAAATTATTTTATTACTTCATAAATCACTAGTGAACATAGCTGCAATTTAACTATATCGGTGATTTAACTGCAGACTAAGTCAATATTGACTTTAACATTACTTGTTTTATAGCTTTCCATAGCTGCGTGGGTACAGGCTGGTGGCTTTTAATAAATGGTTTCATATCACAAAAAGCACCATCATAACTGGCATTAATTTATAGTTTTCTTACCATTTTCTGCAGAGAAACTAGTGTTTAAGTCATTAGTATGACCCATGATCCTCTCAATACCCTCACATAGTGGGGAAGGCTCTTACGGTTTCTGTTCTTCATTGGTCTCTGGCGCTGTTTCCCAGGATTTTCGAAAGAGCAAGTTATTTGGATATTTGAGTCAGAGCATTATAAAAAAGAACTTGTATCAATATACATTTCCTACTTTATAGCACATGTATGTCTGATTTTTAATACTTCAGTGAAATTAGTAGGACATCAAATGGAATCTACCCTGTCTTTCCAGGAAGAATTGCGCCCCCAGTTTGAAGCTAAATATTCCCAAGTGGAAAGAGTAAATCCCATCACAGGAAAACCTGAACCTTTTCAGCCTTTCCCTGATAAGCTTAGTCGACTGATGGTGTCTGTCTCAGGAATATTCTTCATGGTAATAATGGTTTAATAATATTGGAATTATTGTGGCCTTTAATCTTATTCGGTTGTAAATAGTAACGCAAGTAGTGAGTGCATAGGTTAAAATTAGTGGATTTACATAATATAGGCAAAACTTACTGTCTCTGTCTTACTGCTTGATTATGGATCTCTTTCTTTCACAAGATGTAATATAGTGATATTGTAAAAGAACAGTAAAGAAATATTTTAACTCATCAATCTAGCATTTTCATTCTCTCAAAGTCTGCTCACCAAAACAAATGCCAGTTTTTAAAAGACTTGTCAATTTATTAATTCAGTGGAAATTATTTCAGATATGGTTTATCTTGTTCTAATATCTCTATTCATAAATACTTACTTGTAGATTTCGCTGGTCCTCACTGCGGTGTTTGCAGTTGTGGTGTACCGTCTGGTAGCCATGGAACAGTTTGCTTCTTTCAAGTGGTATTTCATCAAGAAATATTGGCAGTTTGCAACGTCTGGCACTGGAGTCTGTATCAATTTTATGATCATCATGTCACTCAATGTCGTAAGTTTTCTGTTCTTTTAAAGGAGGGTTAATTTAAAAGAGTAATTTTTACAAAGTTACTGAGTTTACTGTATATCAGGCATATACATGTTCCTGCTTATTCATATAGCACTGCCTGAAGCTAGGGGTTGTCAGGGTTTTTTTTCTCTTCTAATACTATGTTTGTCAATGTTTTTCTCTAATGCCTACTTAATTTGTCACTACACATCTTTGCTTATGTTACCAAGTCACGGTGGTACAGACTACTGCTTTCTACAATTGCAATTTTGGTTTTTTACGTTACCTATTGCAATACGTTTCTTTAAATGGAACTACGTTATTTTCTTGGCTGATAATTTTCTTTTTTTTTCTTAATTGATAACTTTGAATTCTTCCTTTTCTTATTTAAAATATAGCTGTCATATCAGTGTTAACACAGTCCTAGAATCACTGTGATACATGATTTCAGTTCAAGCTTTTCCTGTCATGTAACAGCATGGGTTCAATCATTTGCTGTAGTAGCACGATGTATATTGATATAAACTCTGTGCCTTCAACTGCAATATAATTTGTCATTTTTCTATTACCATGCAAGCACAAACAGGTAAAAAGGAATGATAGCTTAGCAAACAATGGCTTTTAATTCTCTTAAGGAGATGTACACTTGCTGCAATAAGAAAGCATTCTCCAAAACAGACTGTCATGTATTTATTTCTCTTATATAGATGATAATTCTAAGTTGTAAAAAGTACATTCAAGTGAACAAGCACACCAAAGCTATTGAAAATAACTTGCTATTAATAGTAAATACTCAAGGAAATATTTTTCAGAGTTGGTAACTACTTTGGGATAAGCGTCATTTAAAAAGAAGACTGGAGATAGTCAATATACAGATAAGGAAGTATTCAGTAGGAGGCTGATACCCTCACCAGTATGCATTTTCACACAAAGGAAAGTTGTTTTCTGTTAAGGCTTTTCCTTAATCTTAGACCACAGAAGTTTGTTCCTGAAGTGAGAGGGTAAGCGTCTAACTGTTCCTTAAGAGAACTGTTGATGTCTGAACATCGTCATGTCTTTTCTTGATCTATTGAGTCTTGATTTATCTTTATTGTATATTTAATATATATACTTCCGTACATAGGTTTACATGGATAAAGAGAGCAGGACTAAAGTAGTTCAGTGAAGTCTTTACAGGAAACTGTACATCCACATGTCGCTACGACATCGCCCTCCCTTCTCTGTGCAGATACCTTGATGCCGCAGGGCAGCAAAACACCTTTGCTTTTGATGCTTGTTTTCATTCTGCATTGGACATCACAAAGAGACCTGATGTGCTCTACTTTATACCATCTCTTATTTCTGTTGCAGGTATATGAAAAGGTTGCCTATCTCCTGACAGACTTAGGTATGTAGGTCTTTACTAGTGGTACGGTTCTTGCTAGCTGTGGCATCTCATTTTATCTTTCCATAAAATAGGGTTTTGAAAGCTTCATCTATGTATAGTACAATTCTGTCATTTCCCTAAGCAAGTGAGAAGTATCAGAGAAAGAAATTGTTTGATTATTTCACTAAGGAAATAATAGAAAATAAATTAATTTATTCTTATACTTCTACTTTTTCTATGCTTTATAGTATAAATTGAAAAAAAACTGTCATAATGGAACAAAAGGCAAAACATACTCTTTCTTAGAATGCTAAACCAGATTTTTTCCATTTTTCCCAAATGTTTTGTAACTTTTTTTGCAATTTTTAAATTTAAACGTTCATATAGAAAAATGGGTTAAGATGAAATTACATTGTCCAAAATAAAAATGTTAAGTCATTAATTTTAAAGTACCTCTAGTTCAGTCACATAAAAAATTTATACTGAAGCCTCCAGTCGACATTGTCATAGAGGTAAAGCTTTCTAGCTTATAGAAAACAAGAAAGCAAAGACGGCATTTAAGATCTGCTACTCTGTGAATATGTTGCCTTTTAGTGTTTCTTCTTACATGCTCTCTTTCAGCCCATGTCAAAATATGCGGTTGATCTTGTCGTAGTTTAAAAGCAGGCTCACTGCTTAAATTTAACAGCTCCCTCTTCTGGTTAAAGGGTTGAAGAGGGTGCATTAAACCAGATACTCAAAACTTGTGTTTCAGGTAACAGGCAGTCGAACAGCTTAGAAAGATTCAGAATTTATAGTCAACTTATTCAAATGAGTAAAATATTTTAAAATATTTTTTCAGATCACACTGATTTGTATTCCTACTTAACTTTTTAAATTTATTATATTGTCACAGACCAGGGAATGGGAAGGAAAATAATGATTCATTTAAGTACATAAGCTGATTTTTCCCAAAATATATGAAAGAATTAAAAAAAAAAAGGGGGGGGGGGGGGGGAACTTTTAAGAATAGAAAACAAAAACTTATTTGATGACAAATCAGGTGTTTGAGCTAGGTAGCTCACTGTACTTCCTAAAGTGTTTTAGGTCAAAGAGAAGGAGGACATCTTAACTTCTGGGAACAAGTGTCCATATGTAATGCTAGTATCCTGCACATTTGTATCCTAATTTAGTCATCATTAGTCCAAAGTAATTAAGTAGTACAAATTTTAAATGAAAAATCCAGGCAGTTTAGACTTCAAACTCATGTATGTGCTTTAAAAGTTTCATCAACGTACTATATTCCACGTTTGATATATCCATCAAAGAAATCTGAAATTTTTACCAAAAAAAATTAATTTTAATCATTACCACTGAGTTCCAATTCAGACATAAGTAATGTTTTACGAACCGTAAGGAAAAACATCCAAGGCAGTGCAGTCCCACATGGAATACTTGGAGCCCTACTACACATTTCTTTCAAGAAGACCCCACAAAAACCAAAGAAGGACCCCCATCCTTTCCTCCTTCAGCTGTAAAGTGTTTAACACTTCACAAGCACAATGATAAGGAAGTCTTGAGGATGAAGTGGTGGTCTTACAGGAGTAATTAGAAAGCAAGATGCTTGGGTGAGAAACCAGCTGGCTGTTGGTTGTCTCTCTTCCCTCTGCTTTCCTTGGCAGCCCTGCTGATGCTGAGTGCTTTTGCTTCTTGTTTGGGGTTTTTTTGTTGTGTGTTTTGGTTTTTTCTTTTAATTAAGATGCCTGTAGCCTTAAAATTAAAGATTCACACTGAATTCTGAACTTTTTCATGGAAATGGAACAGCTGTCTTCCCATAGAGTTGTCACCTGTTCTGTACTGAGGGGTTTGTATCTGCTGTTTCCACATAGAACCAACATTGTCTGAGCTGGGGCAATGGTTTGGTTACCTGCGGACTGAGCACTTTGAGGGGAAAAAAAATAATAATTGCAACCTGATGGGGCACCATGACTTAAAACCATCGCTTCTTTTCTTAGTGTTCATTGATCTGTGAGCAAAGGTAGGCACGACTCTATTTCATTTTTGCTTGTATAATGTATATCTTGTCTTTTGACAGAGCACCCTAGAACAGAATCTGAATGGGAAAACAGCTTTGCCTTGAAAATGTTCCTCTTCCAGTTTGTCAACTTGAACAGCTCCATCTTTTACATTGCCTTTTTTCTTGGCAGGTGAGTTATTTTTGCTAACTGCACTCGGAAGAAAGCTTGTACAGAACTCGTAATCCTTGCTAATTGTATAGATTCGAAGAAAATGCAATTTGAACTGGAAGATTTAGATGCAAGTCAATTTCTGAAGAAAATTAATAACACAAAATTGAATGTTTCTATCTATATGTGAGGGTTGGACCCTTGAAATCTTTACTCATGAAACTAACAGTAAAAAGTCTACTTTTTAAGTGTGTCTCTGTACATGACTTTCCTACTAAATGAGAATTCGGAACCTTTAGAAATATAGTCAATTCCTAAATTTGGGTCTGTATTTAGCCCTGTGCTAATAGGCTTTATTAATTTTTTTCTTGTTTATTCCCCTTTGGTTGCATTTCCCAGGAACCATTTCTATGAATAGTAAATATTGTCTGGCTATTTTCTAGCAAGTCTTATACAAGAGTAGGAGGCAGAAATTCTGGCTTCAATTTCTGTTTGTATCTTTAGCTCAGACTATGAGATACTGGTCAGGTCTAACCTTGCTTCAACTTCACTTCCATTATGATCAGACTTACCATTCCCACAGAACCTACAGAGTATTTCAGAGAACCATCAGTAAAGTTTTATCATACAATTTTAGTTCAAGATTTTTTGAGAAAAAAGAAAACAAACATCTAGAAAAGGCTGTTGGTTACATCCAGTGGTGCATTTGCCATACAGTTTCTAAACTTTGTATCTTCTTATCTCCTGTGTCTAGCAGGACCAGGCATGGGGTTTTTTTCTCTCTGATTTATAACTTTCACTGAGGTCATTAAGTATTTTGATTGAATTTGTTATGCAAGAATCTGTTAGATCTGTAAAAAACATTTCGTTATGATGGGTTAGGAAGTTATTTTATGCTTGTATGTCTGAGGGTGCAATCCAGTGCACACTTAACGTGGGCAAGCGGATCGCTGTGCTGCGGTAAATTCCTATGTATTGCAATGGCTTATCTTCTTAGAAGTAGATTAGAGAGTCTGAATGTCTAACATCTAAAACCTCTGAAGCTAGGATTTTTGTTCTGGACATAATAAAAGCTTAGGATCCTTGCAAAATGATTGTCCTTGTTTGCATTCTGAAACTTCCATATCCTGCAGATAACAGATTTAAGCCTGTGAGGTTCAATCTGTTTATATTTCATGAGTTTGCTCAATGGATGTTGTGAAATAACTACTGATACAGGGTGTTCTTGGAATGTCCACTGAGAAATGGAAATCTTATTTTCCAGATTTGCAGGCCGCCCAGGAAAGTACAACAAGCTTTTTAACAGATGGAGACTGGAAGAGGTAAGCAATCCACTTTTGTGTTCCTGTGAGATTTCCGTGCTTAAAAAGGAAATGACTGAAGGACAAGAATTATGTCCAGTTTGAAAGATTTATTATTCCATCTAAGAGCAGTAAAAACTAAACTTTTATTTATAGCAAAGGATAGGAAACAGGAGATGTGTTTTTCCTTCTGCATTCTCCATATGCTGAGTGACTTTGCCCGAGACACGCAGTTCTTTCTGCCTCTCTGTAGGAAAAGCAAACGATGATAGTCCCTTACCTGACAGGCACTACTAAGTCCTATGTGATTGGAATCTCCTGGGCACGTGGAATTTTTGGATGGAGGACATAAATATAATGCCTTCAGCTTTTTTATCAGCTTCTTAAGTTTCTGCCAGCACAGGAAAGACATGGATCTGTTGGGGTGGGTCCAGAGGAGGGCCACAAAAATGATCAGAGGGATGGAACACCTCTACGATGAAGACAGGCTAAGAGAGTTGGGGTTGTTCAGCCTGCAGAAGAGAGGGCTCTAGGGAGACCTCATAGTGGCCTTCCAGTACTTAAAAGGGCCTTATAAGAAAGGTGGGACAAAGTTTTTAGCAGGGCCTGTTGTGGCAGGACAAAGGGTAATGATTTTAAACTAAAAGAGGGCAGATTTAGACTAGATATAAAGAAGAAATTTTGTATGATGAGAGTGGTGAAACACTGGAACACGTTGCGTAGAGAGGTGGCAGATGCCCCATCCCTGGAAATATTCAAGATCAGGTTGGATGGGGCTCTGAGCAACCTGATCTAGTTGAAGATGGCCTTGCTCACTGCAGGGGGATTGGACTAGATGATTTTTGGAGGTCCCTTCCAATCAAAACTATTCTATGATTTAAAAGAAGAAAAATAGTATTTTCAAAATTTAGCTTGAAACTGTGTTAAATACTGTAACTTCGTAGTCCATGGTCTAAAAAAGTTTCTATAATTACTAAACATTTTATTATGGCAATTTATATAGTTAAGATACCGGTACCAGAGACTGAGCTACTAAGCCTCTGTTCAGACTTAGGATATTACAAATGAAATATAGCTCCATTCTTTTGAAATGAATATATATGTATTGGCCTAAGTGAAATGGACTATATAATTTATCAGGTATCTAGAACACCTACCCTTAGCTTAGGTAATGCGATCTAGTTCTCCAAGAAATAGTTATGTCTAAACGTTGTTCAGCTAAAGTCTGTCTTAGTATTTCTGTTATTAATATTTCTTTTAATATTTCTGTAGCTGGACATTAGTGTTTTTCACCAAACATATCTGAGTATTTTTCATTCACCCTCTGAACAAATAAGAAATTAAAGGAATTATCTGGTTTTAGCTATTGATCTTTTTCCATTTTATTTCAGTGTCATCCTAGTGGCTGCTTGATAGATCTGTGTTTGCAAATGGGAGTCATTATGGTTTTAAAACAAATGTGGAACAACTTCATGGAACTAGGCTATCCGTAAGTTCAGATGTTAAAATTTGTTTTACAAATACTGATTACATATTAGTGCGATTCAGTGACAGGGAAAAATATTTTCATGTTAGGAAAACGTTTTCACTTTTTGCATCTCACAGACTATAACTTTATTCCCAAGGGAAGCAGTAACTGCCGCTGTAAGATAAAGCATCTGGGGTTATGTTAACCATCTAAATTGATTATTGTGACTTTATTTTCCATAATACAAACAGAACTGTTCAGCTACTGAAGAGAGTAATGGGCTAAAAGTCTTACAGTTCTCTTGAAACTGAAAGAATATGTTTTCAGTAAAAGAACGCTCATCAAATATTAGTTTAATCAAAGTCTCAACCTTGAAAAAATGTCAGAAAGGGTTATGCTCACAATGTGCAGTCATTCTGCAAATGAGGGGCAGTGTACTGTAATGTTGCAAGACATGGATTTCTGAAAAGAAGAAACCTACTTGAAGTATCAGGCTTCCTGTCTTCTCGGCCCAACAGCCTCTTAACTCTGTCTGGAATTTATGGTGGAACATGTTTATATTCCTTTATGGAAAACAGTATTTTGTTTTGGCAAAACCATTGTTTGCAGCTGTGGCAACTCAAGTTGCTCGTTCAGTAACAAGGGAGATCAAGAGCTGAACACTAATTAGCTTGAGAAAAAATAGCAGCCTGTTATAAAAATACTTACGAGAAAATTATTTCCCATCTTCAGTCTCTTTTCAGTAATAGCTAGAAGCAAACAACAGTCTTTAACTGCCACCTCTGTCAGTGCTGGATATATTTTTTGTTTGTATAACACAGGATTTGTGAGACTATTACCTACTTAGTATGTATAACTGCTTTGTGAAAAGACCTCTGCACAGCTTTATAAAAAACAGACTTAAATATTTGCAGCTTCGGCAGCACCTTTTCAGACACTTTCTCTGCTTCAAGAAAAAAATGCTCTGTAGAGCATCTAGATCTTTAGGTTTGTTCAAAAATAGTAGGCGTATTCTACTATTCAATATACTCTAGTATCATAGAGTTCTTCCTTAGTTCCACTTGGTTTGTCTTTTACAGGATTAAAAATAAAGCATTACTTACTTTTTTAATGCTCTCACTATGCATGATTTTTTTTCCTGTTCTTTTTTAATTTAGGCATGCAGGTAAATCCTAAAAAAAAAAAAGTCTAGGCAAGCAAATTCCATATTCTGAAAAGCTTATTTGTATACTGCCTAACATGCTATGTTACAGACATAATTAAAATCTTAATCCAGAATTTTGAGAACTTTCGGAAGTTCTTTGAATTGTATCTTCTATGATATTGTGAATATTTCCAGAAAATACCTAAGTAAATATTCAGGTGCTATTCAAAATAGGCCCACTGACTTCAAAACAATACCAGCAAATATTGTAAATTACTGCATAAGTACAGTCAATCATGCTCTGTCTATCTGATAAAGTTTATTACAGAATTGGTGGTCACGACGTAAAATGAAGAGAGGAGGGCAATTAATGGAGCACAAAATTTCTCTACCTCAGTGGGAGAAAGATTGGAATCTTCAGCCTATGAATCTCCATGGTTTAATGGACGAATATTTAGAGATGGGTGAGTAAATTTAGGGAGGTGTCAGTTTTCTTAAAGAACTGGACCTATGTTGCACATTAGAAGATCTTTTGTGTTCCCAGTTTCTAACCATAGAAATGCCTGTCTAGTTTTACAGTTTGGCTTTACCACCATCTTCGTTGCTGCCTTCCCACTGGCACCTCTCCTGGCTTTGCTTAACAATATCATAGAAATAAGGTTAGATGCGTACAAGTTCGTTACTCAGTGGCGAAGACCTATGCCTGCAAGAGCAACAGATATAGGTGAGAGAACCTAATGACTGTCACTGTCAGGTACCATCTCTTTGCGTTTCGTTCTTTAACACGTATTTCATGTGTCAAGAGTGAAATTGATAGTGTAACCTGCAGATCTCAATGACAACTCTCCTGGTCAGCAGCAAAACGATACTTGGCTGCTTAGCTAAGAGGACGCCTCAAATTTGCTTTCAGTTTCCAATAAGGAATCATAATAGTTGGAATTTTGAAAACAGGCTAAATAGTATTTTAGGCTTCCGATTTGTGGAACTCTAGGTCTAAAATGCAATCCAAAATCAATTTAATTTAGAAAACAAATATAAGGACTGAATTCACTTTTGGTTTAAAACTGAATTAAATAAAAATCTCTCCAGAATCTTTGTTTGGCCTCTTTATAACTGAAGATTATGGTTATACCTTTGTTGCTCAGCTGTTTCTTCTCAGCAGGGTGTGCCGTGCTGTAAGACTTTATTCAAGTGGAGCCAGTGGTGGCAGGGATGTGGGAACATGGCTTAATCTTGACTAGCTTTTCTGTCTGAATAATTCCTTCTCAATAAGAAAGGAGAACTGTATGACTAATAATGACTTCAATATCACTAGCATGACTTTATATGACTTAGTATGACTGTAAAAAACTAACTATTTTGTTGTCATTTCTTTTGTTTCTAGGTATCTGGTACGGGATTCTGGAAGGAATTGGAGTCCTGGCTGTCATCACCAATGCCTTTGTTATTGCCATTACTTCTGATTACATTCCACGTTTTGTCTATGCATACAAATACGGTCCCTGTACAGATCAAGGGTACAGACAAGAAAAGTAAGATATTCTTTATATATACATGTATGTTTCAGTGGAAGCACACTTTTGCTGCTGTCTTTCTGAGTTAATGTACTTAACACCCACCAGTGACATTTTACCTTTTACATCTCTGCAAACCTTCGCAGATGCTAAGTGCAAGTAACTCAGGCATTCCAGAGGGTTTGCAAACTAACTCCACAGTTACGAAGTGGAAAATCATGTCTTACCTTCTGAAGGCAAACAGCAAAGTTTAGTATACACCATAGCAGTTTTCAGGCTTTCTCTAGTTACAGTTTTCTTCTTTTCTGCCGTAGTTCTGGACGGTCTTCTCCCACTACCCTCCCACATACGTAGCTGTGCTCCCAAACCCTGTTTTATCCTGAGCCTCGTTCACCCTCAAACTTCCCTGCCTGTTTCTCTTCAGAAACACTTATTGCCAAGCTCCAGCAAGATTGGCCTTGACACTATTTAGCTTAACTCCGTATATAGTGTATCTTGGCTTCAGGGAAGGTATCTTGCCTACCTTTACACCACCAGGCCTGTTTCCTGCGCTTCTCTCCAGACACTTACCAATGACTGAACTGTGGGACCACCGTGCTCTGTCTGCATTTCCCACTGTCTGTCGTGACCTTTTACATGATCTAAACAGATCAGCGAACTCATGGGCATCCTCTCTTTCATTTGGAGACCACTGCGCTACAGGTGGTTTTGGGCAGTGGTTTTGGAGGGGTTTTTTTTGTTTTTATTTTTAATATGGGAAAGGAAAATCGAGAAAAGGAAATACCACTTCGCTAATAAAATAGCACATCTGTTTCACAAGCAGAACTTACCTTCTTTATTGTGCAGGAGGAAAGGTAAGAGTGGAAGCATCAAGGCTTGCCCAGCAAGCCAGTACTGCTGCATTCACAGACTGTGCCTCAGCTCAAACCACAGGGGTCTGTCCTTCCTCCCCTCAGTGCCCCATCTCTGATGATTCGAAATAGAGATTTACTCTACCTGTGCTGTCACAGGAAGTGAGAACTTAAGGGCAAAACAAATGAGGCAGGATAGAATGAAAAGAGGCAATAGCAGGAAAACCTTAGTGCTTAATGTGCACTACCCATTGAAGAGACCTCTGCGATTATATTTCTTCTTTCGCCAGTTGTGATTTGAGGTGTCGCAGCAAACTTGAAGGTTCAAGAGGTATAATAGGATCCCTGATGCATCTGTCTTTAAATGTTCTTTGCCTTTCAGAAGGCCTGTTTTTAGATTACAAGACAGATTTCCAAGAAGATGGGATGTCTTACATGTCCATGGTTTTCCAGGAACACTCCTACAGTCATAATTCAATGTATTTATATGATTTCTGTCATTGATACTAATAAAATGTTGCCTTTAAGATGGCTGTTTGGTAGATATGCACTGTTCGTATTACTGTTGGTGAAAATTCTTCTTTGATTCAATTCGTAAAACCTGTCATTTTTTGGTGTATGCTGCCTCATTGGTGGCAGATTCCGCAAGGACGTTTAGTTACTCTCCTCTGCCTCTCTGGCCATCTTTCTAAGTTCAGTAATTTTAGGAGACAGTGAAGAACACTGTAGCAACAATTTTTGATTTATATCTGCTGCTACATAAGAAGCAAAACCATCGAAAGTGCTGAAAATAGATTTTTGAACAGTGTTGTCTCTGAAATATATGTTATTTGTTTCTTTCCAATAAAACTTTGCTTCTCTGCTTAAAATTTTAGAATTGCTTGTGTCCTTACAAGCAAATAAAATAGTATGTTCACAATATGTGACAGTAGAATATATTACCTACAGGATCTATGCTGTATAACCGCTTTATGAAGAAAGTCCTGACCCTGTGTCTTTTCCTTTCAGATGTTTAAAAGGATACGTCAACAGCAGTTTATCAGTATTTGATTTGAGTGAACTTGGGATGGGATACTCAGGATACTGCCGGTATGTTCCGATGCTCTCCTTTCTTGTAATACAGGCATAGACAGTAATAGACACATTAACTTGAAAGTCAGTGCTGGCAGAATAGTTTCTTTTTTGCCTGTAAAAGCATTGAGTTCAAGTTTATTCAATGTGCAAGTCTCAGGTGCTAAGACTGCGTGGTAGGATGCAGTACTAACACTGGAAACCTGTCTTCTGAGTTTTTCCAGGGCTCTTTCAAGCTGTATCTTTAGCACCTCTATGAATTATTTCATTTTGAAGTTGCCCCAGCTGCCAAGAAGGGTAAAAATCCTCATTTCAGTTTTGTTAAGCATTCTGAGGTCTATTAATTAAAATACACAATTAAAATTTTTGTTGTGGCTCTAACCCAGGTCAAGATCCCAAACAGTTATGCGAGATGTATACAAGAAGTTCAGCATAAAAATTAAATACGACATTGCATGAGTGCAGTCCTTCTGGTTTCAGATTTTTACAGTGAATGTTAGTTTGAATTGACTAAAAAATTAGAGAATCGTGTTAACATTTATGCAAAACTTTGCCTGGAGAATCTCAAATGCTTATAAGCAAAGACAAGAACCAATTTAGAGTCAGCAGACTTGAACTTAACACTCCAAGGTATCAGCTTTAGAGCAACAAAAGAAATCGTTTACTCTGGATTTTTGGAAGCAAAAAGTGCCATCTTATAAGCAGCCCTATTTAAATGCCTGTATTGTGGACTGTTCTTCTCCTTTTCTGTTTAATTCCCCTTGAAGTATGCTTTCATTTCAGTTTCTTTCCTTTTAGCCAGATCTGGGATAAACTTAGAGAGCTCTTCACCAGGTTCAGGTTTTTGAGCACAGGCTAACTTACTGGGTTTTTCTTTGCTTTACAGGTATAGAGATTACAGAGCCCCACCATGGAGTTCAACTCCCTATGAATTCACTTTGCAGTTCTGGCATGTCCTGGCAGCGCGGCTGGCCTTCATCATAGTATTTGAGGTTAGTCACGGAAAGGAACAATTCCTTTCTACCTCTTTAAAGTCTGAGTTTTTACAGTAGTCCCATAAGTAAATTGTCGGTATCATCAACTGCTTGTTCATTACGGTCAAGAGAGAGAGAAAAAAAAAAATTACCCTCCCCAAACTGTTGTCAATCAGCTGCTTTAAACTGAACTGACAGAACATGCACAGATTTTGGAGTCCCTCCAAAATCGCGTTTCCTTAACAGTCATCATCTACATCGTGTTGGTTCCCAAGCAAATCCTTCATGTTTTATTGGAAAAGAAGAAATGCAACTAATGCGTACATCAAGCACAGTTATTACAAGTTAAAATCTGTGTCAGGAAAATGGTATGTGATTCTAGCCTAATGTAAAAGTAGAAATGTGTGTACTACCTTTGAAGAACGTATTACATGCTGTTCAGGACTCTGGTTATTTACTTCGATTCCAAGCTCTTAACAAAGACTGCTTGTAGGTAGTGTTTGCTGTTGTTATTCAGACTAGCATATCCTGCAGTCACATCTTCATTTAGTCCCTAGCTGTACCCTCAGGTTTACTTTTCAGAAGACTTCAGCATTTAAACATTTCTGATAGACCACCCAGTTACTCCCATATGTGTGTGTGTGTATACATTGAAAAACCAAAGGAGTTGCTTTTCAGTCATGAACTGAATCTCAGTTCCAGTTTTGCCACAAACTTTTAGGCCCTAAAATGTGGTCCCAGAAATGAGTATTTACGCATCTTTGAAGCAATTATTTTTGTTCTTCTTTTCAGCACCTTGTTTTTGGAATAAAGTCTTTCATTGCCTACCTGATTCCAGACATGCCCAAAGACTTGTGTGACAGAATGCGGAGAGAGAAATATTTAGTCCAGGAAATGATGTATGAGGCTGAACTGGAGCATTTGCAGAGAGAAAGAAAAAAGAACGGGAAACAGTATCACCATGAATGGCCTTAGTCACTACCATGCTGCAACAAAAACACTGGAAACTGAAGAGTGCAGTTACGAAATGAAGTCAGAGTCCGGCATCAGTGTGGGAGATTTGCGGTGTATATATGTTCTTGCTGGGCAGTACAGTTGCAGGCTTTGGTGGGGACTGGAAAGTAGATGTTTCCAATGAAGAAAGTGAAAAGCCTTTCCTGTAACTGGCCTGTGGTGAGCACCAAGGAGAATTGGCACTCAGGAATGTGCAGTCAGATTAAAAATTTGGACACTGGTTTAAAAAAAGGCAATGAATTTTCATGCTGTTCATGAAGATACTAACAGTGTAATGAAAGTAAAAAATTACCTATGAACTTATACAGTAAGGGCATGACTAAAGCCGACTTACATGCTATCCACTACTTCTACAGCTTCTGATTGCTCAGCTCCATCTGTAATGCCTCTGAAGAAAAGAGCAATTGTTGCCTTTGTGGCCATAACTTGATATAAATGATCTTTCAGGCTTACTGTTTTGTCAGGTTTGTCCTCGTCTCTTGTTGAGATTGTGGATGTGGTCCTACCCTAAAGAAGGGGTCTATGGCTGCTTAATATATACTATGCAGTTTAAGATTTGCACATCAGTGTCATTGATTTATCCTTCTAGTTGAAAACCAAAAATTCTAAATTCGGAGAGAAAACAGCAGCACTGAGAGAATGCATCGCATTGCCCACATTGCAGCTACATTTGAAAATGACATGGCTCTAGAGGTGTCTTTCCGCTGTTGTGTGCGGAAAGGCCACCTCCACACGCTTCCAGGATGAAAGAACTGTCATTTTTATGCTCTGATGTAGCATGCAGATGTCTAACTGTGTTACTGTTCCCTTTGACCTGTCTGGGCAGTGATTCCGTGACTTCACAGAATGCTAACTTGAAATATTCTCATACAGTGACTTTGTCCTGAATATACAATTAACCCTTTATAGTATGCAAGCTTATGCAGATATATATCAGACATATGGTATAACATTGTGACTTGCTTGTTCAGGGAAGGAGGAGCAGAGCACTTTATAACAATGCTCTTCTTAATGTAATAGAAAATGTTCTGGTAATGTGCACTTCTGTTATTGGCCTAACTAAGTGAAAGCATGGGAGGTAGATGCAGGCAGATATGTATACAGATTGTATATAAATGCACACACACACACACAGTGGTTACTTTTAGATTTTTTTATTATTATTTGTATGCCTTCTTGCAGTTTTGGGGGGCTTTTTGGATAAAATCACTCTAAAGGTAGATGTTCATGTAAAGAATCAAGTTTCAGTTTTTATGCGCATACAGCATACAGCAGTGTTGCTTACGGTTGTAGTCACGTTTTGGTGATGAAATTGTCCGTTACTAACATTTCGTAACTTGGGAAGAGATAAGCACTTCATTTAAACAAGTGTGCAGGGTTCATTTCCAGAGAAGGGCGTGGAGAAACAGTTGTAATCAATTCTGTTTCTCTTGTACAGTTTTAAATAATGCTTCTCTATATTGGGTGAGAAAAACTTTAAACACAAAGAGTCAACAAAGCACAGCAACTATAAAGGCTGGAAATTTGAACATTATTTTTAGGGATAAAGCTGCAGCAAAATCGCTGCTGACAGATATAAAAAGACCTGAATTTTTACTACTTACAATACCCTATTGAACCAAAAAGTGTGATTCCAGTATTCACTTGCATGTATTAGCATGTTTTATGTTATCATGCCATATAAAATGAATTTTCAGAGTCAGGAGCCCATCGGATGGATGAGTATGATCCTATTGTATCCAGGGGGCCTAGCATTGGACCTTAAGTTCTTTAGTTGTTTCACCATATTCATGAGATTTCTTGGTTAATTCCAGCTCTCTGTGACCAGACAAGGCAACTTTAGGAGTATCTACAGTATTGCACAAAGGAGGAAAGAAACTGGAAGGTATGGCCTAATCAGATAGATTACCTGTTCTGTCATAAAGGGCTGGTGGAACTCAGCTTCCTCTGTCTTGGAAAGGCTGTTTGGTTCCTTTTTATTCTGGGTTGTGCGTTAAGTTCCTCAAGGAGTCCGTATGAGAAGTGCTTATAGAATCACACCATTTGAGTTTATTGTGTCACTGTTTCATTCTGCGGAATATCAGCACTGTTTGACAGCGTTAGCTGTGTGTCACAGCTGCTGTTTCTGTGCCATGTAGTCACAGTACTTCAGTTCTTCAGAAGGTCACAGATGAGCTCTCTTTTTAATGTTTTCTCTAAAACTAAAATGCCTTGGCTGGCCCAAGGTATAAAGATACAGGATAAAATTAGGCAAAAATCAGAAATATTGATTGATTGTTTTATACTTTCCTGTTTCTGCTGTTAATATTAGCACATGTCAACACATACTTAGGCAAATTCCAATTGGACTTAAAAACACATAGGAAAGAAAAACTTTTTGTATTTGAGATTTAAGAGATATATATTATTAATGATTTTCAACACTGGTGTATACAAGTATATCAAAGGCAAGTATGTTGATCTGACATGGTGCATTTTACGCACTGGAAAAGCACAAGAAGTTTTGGAGAAACACTGTGTGTGTTCCATTATTTTTGGAGGACATCAGCAATTTCGAAAGGTTTTGCCACTATCTAGCCATTTGCTTAAGCTGAGAAAACTTTTTGCTAGACTTTGTTTAGTATGCTGTTTGCATTGACTGCACGTTATTTTACTAAAGTATAAGGCACACACTGTCCTCAGGAATAATGTATTTTATGAATGGTGAATGAGCTTTTCGTATTCTAAATATTGTCTTTCCAAACAGATGAGCAGTATGAATAGACTGTGCATGCAGGCTGCGTTTGTGAAATCTGACAAAGCTTTAGAAATTCAATTTGTGCAAAAACGCTTTAGATCATTGCAGATCTAATCTATGACAACTTTGCTCTATGCATGCGCCCTTAGAGAGACTGCATGAGCAACTAGATATTTTTAAATGCAAAGGATTAGTCCAAAATGTCTTGATTATTCCTAACCAAATTACATGTCTTGATGCAGACAAAAGAAATTTCCATTTCAGAAATAGCAAAAAGTCCGTATACGTTATACACATCTCATTTCTAATGACTTTCATTCTAAATTTGTGCCTAATGTGTGAGATCTGAATTCTGGCGACTAAAAAAGGAAAAAAGAATTCTGCTTCATTAGCCATCCTAATAAGAGGTTCCTTCTTGGAGTTCAAAGTCTGCCTCCATATAGAGGGGTGCATTAAGAGCTCAGTATTCACAACCGAGCACTAACAGAGTTGCCTGAAGTTGGAGCCCAGGCTCTCTGTTATGCTGTAATTCAGTTTCCTTGCCAGAAAGACAGCACAGTGATTGGGCATTTGGGAACAAGGTGAACCACATTTTTTTTTTATACTATTTTTTTATGCTTTTTTTCCCTATCCCTTTTTTGTTAAAGGATTTATGGAGAAAATTTAAATGAACATCGAAGTTAATAGTGATGATGACAAGGCTAAAATTTCCATGATGATGATGGACGATAAGTGGGGTTTTGTTAGATGTTTCTCTAGAAGTATGTATCTTCATGACTACAAAACACACATCAGCTGTTGCTATGCCCTTATCCAACAGCAGCTTGTCTTAAATGGTGTTCTGAGGATTAGTTATGCTCAATTTTGTCCTGTGGAAAGCTCAAAACGAAAATGTTTGGAGGTCCTAATAGGTACACACCTTAATGCATAAATTCATAAGAAGTTCTGCAGAAGGAAAGTATCTTGAGAAACACAGCTTTAGAGTGAGTGTTAATACAGGGAAAGGCAAGAACTTTGGTGATATTTTATTCTTAATGTGCCATTAAGATGATCAGTCTAATGTAAGTAGTGCACATCTGCAGTTCCCTCGCTGCGGCTCCTTCCACTGCAGACTCCCCTCAAATGGGCTTGCTGCCAGAGAGAATTTCTGGAGCCATGGGATCCAGTGGCATTGCCTGGGAAGTCCTGCATGGCACCGTGGGACTTCTTAATCATTTGCATTATGCCACAGTTCCTTCAGGGGCAAAATAGTACATACATATTTAGAAGTATCATATCATTTTGATTAACTGAAAATCATCTGTGTCCATTAATTGAAAAAGTTTGTACATAGTCAACTTGCAAGTGTCACAAATTTTCATTAAAACTGTTATAAACCAGATTTTTTACATATATTGGGCAGTGGCCATATCAATAAAACCCATTTTAGACTAACAGCTAATTATGAAGGCAATAAAGTTAATAGGAAATCAAACAGTCACATTTTCTATTAAGCATTACATAGGAGAAAAGGGACAGAGATAAAAATAGTGGTATCAACAATCACTTGCAATGCAGTAGTACCTCCAGGAGCATTTCATTGTTTGTAATCCTTAAACTACTAATGTCTCTTATTTATTTGGGGGTAAAGGTTGAAGCAAATATACAGCCAGCCTTTCATAATAATGTTTATTTGATGTTAAGGCTGACACTAGAATTCAAACAGAATTCCACATTTAGGCAGACTTGTTATCTTGTTAGTTCCCATGTGTAACTTTGACTAAACTGCATGCAGTGACACTTCTTGAAAGTGTTTAAGTGAACTGCAAACCTGAATTCCTGTAGTGGAAAATTTAGCGGCTTGGAAAGATCCCTAAGTCTTTTCATACTCAACCTCATGCTCACAAAGCCCATGTTCGATGGGGATAAAATGCAACAAGGCAGCACGTGGAGGCTGAGGGTGAGCAGAGGAAGCAAAGGGCTCCTCTTCAACAAGTTTTTCTCCAGAACTCCCACAAGTTCTGCAAACCAAGGGTTTGAAGATGGAGCATGGTGACAGCCCTCCTGATCCTTTTCTTTTTCTCTTCTGGCTCATTCTTTGCTTATCCTCAGCGTTTTATTAAAAGATGCCTTCTTGCTGACAGTCCAATTTCCAGGGCAATTCTGTAACTGCAGGAGGTTTCACAGGCTCTTTTTGGATGTCCCTAACTGAGCAGCCAAAGCAGAAGGTGCACAAATACTAGTT